GTGGCTCCATTTGTACTGATGTTTTAAGAATAAGATTTATCATCAGTTCAAGTGTTGGCCTAAGATCCATTCCTTTCTTTTTTGTGTTTTCCCAGTACTGGGAATTGAATCCAGGGACTTTATGTTGAACATTATCCCCAGGTGTTTTTGTTTTTATTTTGAAATGGTCTCGTTAAGTTCTTTAGGCAGGACTTGAATTTCGGATTCTCTTGTTTCTGGGTCCCAGAGTGCCAGGATTATAGACATGTGCCATTGTGCCTGGCTTTGGTTTTAGTATTTTGAGACAGGGTTTCTCTGTGTAGTGCAGGTTGGCCTTGAACTCACTATGTAGCCCAGGGTGGCCTCAAATTCATAGCAATGCCCTATGTCAGCCTCCCGAAGACTGGCATTACAGATGTTCACTATTAATCCATTATTAAGTTTTGGTCTTACCTACCATTGACATTTTACCATATCATTTATTAGGACTCACTAATGGTAATATTTCTAATTGTATTGCTCCTCTCTAGGTTTATTAGCATTTTCCCTTCAATATTTTATTACATAGGTATATATATAGGAAAGGCAAGACAACAACTTCATTTTTTCTACTTACTCATTTTCAAAATTAAGGTTGGTATCCTGGCACCTTCTAGTATTTTCTTGCTATGAGCTCAAGCAAGTTGTATATATAATGTGTCTCAACTAATTCCAGTCATTCTTCTTCTTCTTCTTTTTTTTTTTTTTTATCTTTTTGAGACAAGGTCTGGCTATATAGTTCAGGCTGGCTTCAAACTTGCAGTGATCCTCCTGCCTCAGCTTCCTGAGTGCTGGGATTAGAGGCGTGTACCACTACGCCTGGCTCATTCTTCCTTTTGATGCTTCTCTATTTAACTGGTTGTTTCCTGGGTGTTTCTGACATTCCACAGTGTCTAAGAGCTTTGTGGCCCAGTAGGAGAACTCACGCTCATTTTGTACATTCCAGCCTCAGACCTGAAAGCACTCATTTCCTAAGCAGCTTTGGTTTCTGTTAATAAGTACAGTCTATAAAGACCACAGTCTATAGAGACCACAGTCTAGAGGCCACACTCTCTTGTTTTCTTTTCCTTATCTCTTTCCTGTTCCCTTCTCTTCCTTCCTTTCTTTCACACTGGGGACTGAACCCAGGGCCTTGCACATACTAAGCAAGCACTGAGCTGTATCTCCAGCTTCTCACCCTCTTCGTTGGTGCTGGGGTGGACGCAGGGCCTCAAGAATGTTGGATGAGTGCTCTGTCACTGAGCTGCAAACCCACCCAATTTAAACTTTGAGACAGGGTCTCATTTAGTTGCTGTTGCCCAGGCTGCCTTCAAACCTGCAATCCTCCTGTCTTTGCCTTTCAAGCAGCTGGGATGACAGATGTGTGCCATAGGGCCCTTCCAGCTCTTGTTTTAAAATTTTGAGACAGGATCTTGCCAAGTCACCAAGACTGGCCTTGAACCTGTGACCCTCCTGCCTCAGCCTCCCCAGTAGCTGGGATTATAAGTGTGCACCACCACCTCTGGCTATCATGTTTTAATACCACTGCTTTTAGGACTTCTTTGTGCAGAGATGAGAATACATATTTTTTTTTTTTTTTCCGGTACGGGGAATTGAACTCATGACCTCATGCTTGCCAGGCAGGCACTGTGCCGCTGAGCTAAATCCCCAGCCCCAGAATACATATTTTTAAAAGTAAAAAATATACATTTTTACTGACATAGTAATATGCTCTTCTTTGTAGTTTTACTTTCCATAGTTTCAATTAGTGGAGGTCAACTGTGATCTGAAAATATTACACAAAAAATAAGCAGTTTGTGTGAATGCTTTGAGTGTGTGTGTTTTGAGGAGATTCTCGCCATGTCATTAGGATGACCTCAAGCTTTGGGTCAAGCACTGCTCGATCCTGTCTCCCGTGGTGACAAGGTGTGTCTAGGTGAAAAGAGTACACAGAGGCTTGGTACCACTCACCCTTTCTCACACCCACAGGAGGCAGCAGTGGATAGGGGGGACTGAATTTCCAAATAAAGTTGAGGCTCACAGATTTAAGGTTTTTACTTCTTGGTTTACGCATTTACATTTCTTTATCCTTTATTCTCTATAATGCTGGTTTTTTTTTTTTTTTTGAAGCCAGCCTGGGTAATGTAGTGAGACCTATCTCAAAAAACAATAATAAAGAGTCCTACAATCATTACCATCCATAAAACTATGAAATGCATCCTTTTAGCATATAGTCAAAACTTTTAGTCACTTGGATTTTTTTCTTGTTATATCATTAAGTTGATATATGACCTTTTTTTTTTTTTTTTTTTTTTTTGGTAGTACTGGGATTCTGAGCCTTTGCATTGAGTTACATTTCTGGCCCTTTTACTTTGATACGGGGCCTTGCTATATTTACAAGGGGTTCCAATGCTAGTATTGAAAAAAAAGCACTGAGGGGTCAAATGTTTTATAAACGTCAGTTAGGTTGGTGACAGGTTTATGCACTGTATAACCTTACTGACTGGAGGTGTAGTTATGGTATTGAAAGAGGAGTACTGAGACATCCAACTACAACTAGAATCTCTCTCCAGGTCTGTTTCCTGTATTTTGAAGCTCTACCACTGGGTGCGTACACAGCTTGCTTTTGAACTGCGTGGCAGCCTTCCCTCTAGAGCTAAAGGTCCACTCTTTGGCACAATCCACACTCCCGGCTGTACGTGAAGCTACTCCACTCTGGCTGAGGCACATGTGCCCTCAAGATTGTTTGGCGGGCTGCTGTCTGGCCACATAGGCACCACTAGAAGCACGCCTGTTGTCACGGTAATTTCACGTCCCCAACATACTATGCTAGCCGCAGGGTGACTCAGGCCCAGTACCTTCTCACTGATCATCTGCTGAGGGAGCAGGTGAGGCTCACCAGGGTCAGTGCAGTCTGTGGAGACAGACGGCCCTACCAAGGTCCCTAGCTTCTGGGCCTTTCTTTTCTCATCTGGGTAGTGGAAGGAAGCAAGTTCTGTCTCAGCAGAATGACATGTGAGGCTACGTGGGGCAGGTCCTGGCCTCACTAGCCTTACCTCAGCCAAAACAGTTCCACTTTCACTTTTGAGACAGGTTCTCACCACGTAGGCCAGGCTGGCCTTGAACTCAGAGCAATCCTCCTGCCTCAGCTTCCTGAGTGCTGGCATCATAGGTGTGTGCCACCACACCTGGTTCACACAATTCCACTTTCTTCTGCATTAGTTTTGTGGTCAAAGACTTACTGCAGATGTTTTTTTCAGAAAACTATTTTTGCTGTGGAAAAACAAGAGCATTGGCAGCAGAGCTCCCCTGTGTGGTTCTTGAGGTGTGTGGTACACACAGCCTTGCTCTGCTGTGACCGTGTTGTGGTGCAGAGCTCAAAAACTGCAGTGGGACGGGGAGGCCCCAGTGCTGGCTCTCCCCGGGCAGGCGACAGTCCCGACCATGTGCTAGCTGTGCTCTCGTGCCACCTGTGCATTTAGGACCTCTCTGTGCCTTGGCCGTCGGTCATGCATCGCCGAGTCTCCTCTGCAGAAGAAGTGAACAGGAAGCTGAGCAGCAGCCTGGCTGCAGAGCCTTCAGGGCAGAGTGCATCGTGGGTGCGCTCACCTGCCAGGGCAGGTGCTTGGATAAACAGTGACAAGGATAAGCAGTATGATTTTATTTGGAAACAACTCCCCCTAATAATGCCTGAACCCAAAGGTACACTAGAACAGTTTACAGTAATAAATTCGAAGTCGTCTGTAGTTTCTTCTTCGTAACATGGATGCTTTCAGGTGGGCAGGACACGGCGAGCTGTTCTGAGTCACGTGAAGGCAGAAGCCTGAGCTGTGGCCACGCTGTGCCTGCTCCCGGGGAGACGATCCTGTCAGAGCCAGGCTTTTCTCAGCTGTTCGGCCACTACCCCGGGAGGCCACGCAGGCCCTGCCACTGTCACTGCTCGTTCTGCTGGCTCTCTGCGGCGGAGGCCGACACGGAGCCCTGGCCCTTGTTGACATCACTGATGCAGACCCACTGGCCATCCAGCGACTCCTTCCACAGGGTTACCTGCAATCAGTGCACACAGACCTCAGTGTCCTCCCCTTGCCGCCCGGCTCCAGCCTCACCTGCACCGCAATGCTCAGAGCCTGGCATGCCAGCTGCAATCCTAGCACTCTGGGAGGCTGAGACAGAAGGATCGCAATTTGAGCCCAGCCTGGGCAACCCAGCAAGACTTCGTCCCAAAATTAAAAAATAAAAACAGGCCTGGGGGTGTGGCTTAGTGTGAATGCCCTGGGTTCCAATCCCCAGTGCTGTACAGAGGGAAAAGGTGAAACAAAAGAAAACAAGTCAACCCACCAAACAACTCTGCTCAAAAGCTTGTGGGAAAACAGCACTTACATTCACTGAAATCTCATTAAAATACAGGTAGACGAATAAAAACGGATTTAAACAGAGGCAGATCTTTTGCAAACGGGAAGGGGACCAGGAGATGGAGGATGTGGTTAGGGAGGGGAGGGAGGGAACATAAAAAGAATTAAGATGTGGTACATACACGTGCCAATTCCTCACGATGAATTATGTACCACAAAACACGGACTAATAAAAATTTAAAAATTAACTGTTGGCTATGGTGGCGCACACCTGTAATACCAGCACTTGAGAGGCTGAGGCAGGAGGATCACTGTGAGTTTGAGGCCAGCCTGGGCTACATTATCGAGACCTTGTCTAGAAAAGAAAAAGAAAGAAACCCCAAAAAAGACACCCACCCAAGAAAAAAGATTAAAAAAACTAGGTAGTAATTACAGCCACAAAGGGTGATATAAACATGTGATGCTGCTTTAACTAAAGTGACACAGCAACAGTGACAGATGTTGGGTGGCCAAGAACAGGGTTCTCTGACCAGGACAGACCACGGCCTTGGCTCTCCAGCTGCCTCAGGAGGTGGGTGGGTGGGTGGGTGGGGTGTGTGTGTTGTGTGTCAGAGAGAAAGAGAGACAGAGAGAAAGAGAGAGAAAGAGAGAAAGACAGAGAGAAAGAGAGAAAGACAGAGAGAAAGAGAGAAAGAGAAAGGGAAAGTTTTGATGTTAAGGTTTGAGAGCTGCTATAGTCCAGCAAGACACAGGTCAATCAGTACACAATTCTGTGGTCCAGGGCAGAAGAAATGGTGGAGAACTGAAAAAGGTTTCTCCCCAGAGAGGAAAATTTAGGAGACCGCATTAAAAAAAAAAATCTAAATCTAAAAAAACTAGCCCCCTCCAGTCACACACATATAGCACCCTGTGTGCGGGGAGGAACCAACGCAGGCCTGCAGGAAAACGCCTGGGGCCCTGCCTCATGCTGGCTGCCACAACCTCAGTTCTGGGACTGGCTCTAGCACTCCCTAGAATTGGGGAAGTGATCTGGCTGGCCTTTGAGGGGTGTTTATGGCTCTGAGGTGGGGCAGCCTGATCTTTTGGGAGCACTGCAGATGGAAAGACTTGGGCCAGGAAAAGCTCCATGCTGACTGCACACTTGTCCATGGCCACAACGCCCAGTGTTCAGGTCGGTGGAAACAACCCACGTACCTGTCAGTGCAGGACTGATAAACTAACTGTATTACTCATCTTTAAATAAGAACAGCCGGGTGCGGTGGCATACTCCTGCAATCCCAGCACTGAGGGAAGCCGAGGCAGGAGGATCACAAGTCTGAGTTCAACCTGGGCAGGTGTAGGGGTGGGCTCGGCAGAGTTTCTGGGCTCAGTCCTCAGTTCTGAAGAAGAGAGAAGGGGAGGACACTGCCTTTTGTGAAATAAGCAGTCACTGAAGGACACACTCTAGGTGGTGACTGCCTCTATGAGGGCTCTGTTCAGAGCCAGTGACACAGAAAGTAGCCCGGGGCTCGGCAAGTAGAACTACCTCACGGGTGCAGTTTCAGTTTCACAAACGGCATTCTACATCCTGGCTGCACAACTACAGAACACTGCACAACTGCAGTAAGTGATAAACTTACGCACAACTGTAAGTGATAAATCTTATGCATATTTTTACCACAATTTTAAAAAAAGTACGTGGGTGTGGTGGCACACACTTATAATCCTACACTTTGGGAAGCTGAGGCAGGAAGATTGCAAGTTGGAGCCCAATCTGGGCAACTAAGAGACCTAATGAGACTCTCTCAGAAAATAAAAAGGGCCAAGGATACAGCTCAGAGGCACAGTGCCTGCCTGGCAAATGCAAGGTCCTGAGTTCGAGTCCCAGTACAAACCAAAAAACAAAAAAACATTGTATTTGCCAGCCGTGGTGGTGTACACCTGTAATCCCAGCACTTAGGAGACTGAGGCAGAAGGACTGCTATGAGTTTGAAGCCAGTCTGGGCTACAAGGCAAGTTCAAAGCCAGTTTGAACTATATACAGAGATCCTATCTCAAAAAGACAAAAAACCCTCCAAAAACCAAAAACCCCCAAATCCTCATTACTACAAACAAAGCAAAAACAAAACAAAAAAGAAGAAAAAAAGCTGTCTACAGAGGAAAAGCAACAGCATCCAGCAACTAGCTAGCCATCCACTGGCTTGGGACAGACACTCTGGCATGGAAGTGTCCTGGAACTCCCTGGCAGCTGGCTGCCAGCCCGCACCGCCCCTGCTCTGCTCTGTCACTGCTGGCTATGCTGTGTCTTACGCTTTCTGTGCCCCTCACAGCACACAATAGAACATAAGAAATCCTGGAGTAGTAGACTGATTTTTTTTTTTTTTTTGAGATCTGGTCTTGCTATGCTGGCCTCAGACTTGCAGTGATCCTCCTGCCTCAGCCTCCTGAGTACTGGGACTATAGATGTGTGCCACCATGCCTAGCAGAACTGATTTTCATAAATGTGCTTCTTAAGTGTTTTGCTTAAAACCCTCAGTGGTCTCACTTTTGTTTAAAGGTTTTCTTAACTGCATATTTGCTTCTTTTTGCAAAACTAATTAAACATCCCCATGCAAAAGAGGTAGCCCAGTGGTTGGGATGATGGGTTGCCAGACCCTCCCTGGGTCACCCTCCGTGCCAGCTTCTTCCCGTGTGTCTCAGACACGCTCCACACAGTTCTCAGCAATGCTCTACTGACTACAGGCTTGGAGAGCAGGGAAGAGCAATAGGCCAGTGATGGCCAACCCTTTAGGTGCGCACCTAAACTGCAACTCCAGACCACTTACTTCTCCCAAGGTGCCAACTCTGAAACGAAACCTGAATACTGAGGTTTAAGCTTAGAAAAAGCAACTGTATCTGGTGCTCAGTTGCCGAGCCAAACAGCTTGTGTGGTGTTGGAAAGAGCTCTGCATGCCTGCTGTGGCGCCCGTGCCCCAGGTTTGCCACCCCTGCACTGGGCGCTGGAGGTGGGCTGTACCTTGTTGTCACCACCTGAGACAGCGAGGATATTGGCGGTGATGGACCAGCTCACGTGCCACACAACGTCACTGAACTTGTGCAACAACTTAGGTGACCACGTGTTGCCTGAGAGATCTTCACAGGTCCAGATGAACACTCGGCCATCCTACAAGACAGGGTACGGTTGGGTGGGGCAGGAACTCTCCTCTCCGGAGCCACAATGGATCTTCAGAGAGCAGGGTGGGGGAGTCCTGGCCAAGGCACCAGCAGCTCTCGGAGGACAGTCAACATCTGGTCCAGCATCTCATGTCGGTCCCTGTTGCAGGTGCTGGTGCCTTCACTCATCTTGGCCTCAGTTATGGACTCAGCACTGCTAACCTCATTTTCTCAGGGTTCTGCATTCTCATCTGACTAGTATAGCTTTCTAAAAGCCAACCTCAGGAAACAAGAGGGGATGAGTGAAAAAAGAAACATCACAAAAATTTGGAGCCAAATAGATTGTAATGGTAGAGAAGGCCACTTGGTGGCACCGCCTGGCCTGAAGCTCAGTGGCATGGTCTATCTGGGAAGGGTGGCCAGGCAGATGGGTCCACCCCCAACCACACTAAGGTCGGGGCAGCCACTGTGGCTTTGGACAAACCCTCTCTGCACAAGGACTCCCTGGTGACCCTTCTGCTGCTGTGCTGGTCCCCATGCCTGCTGCTCTCTTCCTCTCCCCAGGACTGCCTCACCAAGCCTCTGGAAGGCTAACGGGACTCGTCAACAGCAGGGTGTGCGTGCTTGGGGCTGTGCTACCTGGGAGCAGCTGGCGATGGTGCTGGTGGGTAGGCCGATGGAGGGGGCCCAGGCCACATCTCGAACCCAGTCACTATGCGCCTCCAGCTTCTGGTCCTCCTTCCACTGGCCGTCCTCGTCCTCCCTGGGGAGACCAAAGGGAGAACCAGCAGCCCATGCTGCCTCCCTCCCCATGCACAGGCTGGGTCAGGGCACAAGTCCCACCTATTTTACACAGTTCTTCCACTTGTGGAGACCCTCAGGAAAAGACTCTTTCCCTCCCCAGCTCCAGTGGCTGGGAGTCAGGTGAGCAATACAAGCAGTGCACAAAAAGGGCAGGCTTTTGTTGTTTTAAAGGTGACCTTGCAGATTATAAACAGTGTTTTACTGGCAAGGAGGAGGATGGTGGCCCTGACTTTTTCAGTCATGGCAGGCAGAAAGCAGAAGGCTTCCCTTGAGGAGTCTGCACAGCCCGCTTACTTCCAGAGTTTGATGAGGTTATCACAGCCACCGGAAGCAAACTTCTTGATGTAGCTGGGTTTCTGCCCTGATGGCTGGTCTATGAGGCTTCCAGGTACAACAGCAGGGGCCCAGCTGACAGCGTTGCAGCCAATCTGCAAAGAAGGGATGTGTGGTGATGCTGACCTTTCTCTGCAACAGGAACTGTGCTCTGCAGGTCCAGGCTACGGGTCATTTCTCTCTAGCAACTCACAACTCTGCCTCATGAAGCCCAGCTCTGCAAGGTACTCGTTAAAAGTAGCAACCAGGAACGCAAACATTACTTTGTCAAATAAATGAAAGGAGGGCACATGCAGGCCTATTTTAAAGAGAAGATTTTTAAAAAATCGTTAGAAAACCACAGAAAATAAAAAGCTTAAGGAATTACCCCAAACACTCCTGTAGCCGCCACCAGGTCAAGTGATACCCTATCTGAGAAGATCTCAGGTGTTCTATCTTAACACAGCCCTCGTCTTCCATTATCCAGACTTCTCATCTGTTCCTTCTCTCCCTAACTGGCTCTATCCCTCAAATGTGTACCCCTCGACAAGACAGTGTGGCACATGCCTATAATCCACTCTGGCAGGCTGAAGCAGGAGAATTGTCAAGTTTGAGCCCACCCTGGGCAACTTAGTGAGCCCCTATCTTGAAATAAAAAATAAAAAAGGACTAGGGATGCAGCTGGGTGCAAAGGCTCTGGGTTCAATCACAAGTACCAAAGAGAAAAGGGGCGGGGGACTTCCCCATTTCCCAGTTTGTAGCTGTTCCGATTTCCCCTTTTGGCTTTGCTGGTAAGGAGCCTGTGCTCTCTGAGCATGGCCTCTTCTGTGCTCTCCTGGTGCATTCAGTTCTCTAGGCTCCTCTGTGGGCTTGAGAACGCTCAGCTGGAGCTCACAGCTCTTTGTCTTGGTCCTTCATACGTCACTGCATTTATAGTTATGTTTGTCTTGTCAGTTTTGCTGTCTAAAGCTTCTCCTCTAGTAGATACCACAGGGTCTAAACAACAGTCCCCAGGGTTCTGCATATTGATAGCGGTTTGTGTCCTTTATGTGCTTAAGTAAAATTTAAAACTGGCTTCATGTTGGTCAGTTTTTTGTCACTGTGACAAAATACACGACTCTCACATTATGAGGGGCCAACTAGTTCCAGGAAGGAATATCAGAGTGGAAGGACTTGGCGGGGCAAAGCTGCTCATTGTCATGGTGGCCAGGCAGCAAAGCACAGAGCAAGAGTGCAGAGAAGCGGGGGCTATGGACCAGATGCAGACCCCAAGGTCACACACCTATGACCCACTTCCTGCAGCCAGGCTTCCCTCCCAACAGCCCATTCAGCTGATGAATGAGGAGGATAGTGCTCTCACACCCAGCCGCCTCTCAGGAGTCTCCTAATACAGTCAGACTGATGGAGCAGATTAACTGTTACAGCTTTGATACAGCATAATCAACTTTTTTTTTTGGTCTTTTTTGAGACAAGGCCTCAGTATGCAATTCAGGCTGACCCTGAACTCACTATGTAGCCCAGCTGGCCTTGAACTCACAGCAATCCTCCTGCTACTAAGGTGTGCGCCACTAAGCCAGGCTCCATAATCGACTTTACACATAAAAGTGCAAGGTTTGATGAATTCTGATGTAGATATGCCTTGTAAAACTGGCGCCACTGATAACAAATGTTAGCAGCATCCCAAAGGTTTCCTCCTTTCCCACTGAACTCAATCTCTCAACCCTGTAGCCTCCAAAATGGGCAACCACAGAGCTACTCACTATAGATTAGTTTGCATTTTCTAGAACTCTACATCCGACAAACTACAGTATTTTTTTTTGTTTGGTTTTTGTTCACTCAGCATAATTATTTTTAAATATATCTATCTTGTGTGGATGAACAGTTATTTCTTTTTATTGCTGTGTAGCATTTCTCAAGCACAGACCCACTGCTATTTCTTCATCTGTCTCCCCATTGATGGGCACTTGGTTGGCACTTTCTTTCCTTGAGTATTTTATACATGCAATTGATTCCTTTTTCTTGGTTTTTCTTGCAATACTACGGATGGAACCCAGGGCCTTGGGCATGTTAGGCAATTATTCTACCATTGAGTTACAACTCTGACCTACTTTTCTGTTTTAAGTGAGATTATGTGGGAATTTTCCTAATCAGGGAAGGCAAGCCTTGCTGGACTCAAAACTCTTGTTTTGTAGGACAGCAGTTTGTGCTCAGAAGCACCTTCCTCTGCTCCTCCCCGGGCTGGTCTAACCTTCTTTCCCACCCCTGTCCCTAGCAGGCACCAATTTGCTTTCACCCCAACAGTCTGTCCTCACAAGGAGCTCTGTCCCCAAAGCTCTGCGCCATGCTTCTTCAGTCCCCTTGCATTCACCTGGTCTAAGAGAGGACAGAATCTCTCCGATTTTTCTAAAGAAGATATACACAGGGCCAAAAGCATGTGAAAAGATGCCCAGCATCATTTTCGATTAGCAAAAGTAAAATAAAAAACACAATAAGCCACTACTTCACACCCACAAGGACAGCTATAATCAAAAAGACAGGTGTTGGCAGGATGTAGAGAAATTAGAACCTCAAATGCAGCTGGCAGTGTTAAAATGTGCAGTTACTTTGCAAAACTGTTTTAAACTTTCTGAGGAACTACTAAATAGTTTTGCTAAGTAACAAAAGTTAGACATAGCATTACCACGTGACTCAAGCTCATAGCACAATTACTCACAACTACTGAAAATATTTGCTACCTGACGGATGAATAAATGTGAGGCACATACTGTACTCCAAACACAGCATTATCCAGCCATAAGGAATGAATACTGACATATGCTATAACAGGGTGAGTCTTGAAAATCTGTAATTTGCTGGTTCCTTCTTTCATTCACAAGTGTTTATGAGAATCATACGACACACAGTGGAGACTCAAGAAATGTAAGTTGTCCCCACTGCCCACAAGGTTTTCTGGACTATTTCAACCTTAAGGTTCAATGACCAGGAGCACAGAGAACTAAATCTCTATGATGCTTCCTATTGTGCTGCCTGGCTCCAGGAGTCTCAGTGACTGCGCAGGCCATGTCGCCTTCCATGACAGTGGAAGTGGCGGTTGGCAGGCTGCCGCTGTCCTTCTGCACACCCAGCCCTTGCTCTGGGTTGAAGGAAGCTGAAGCAGCTGCTGGCTCTGCAGCAGAGGCTCAGCACATCTTCTCTGCTGCCCTTTCTGGCCCACCACCCCTGCAGGGCCCCCTAGGAGCCCACAGGAGACTCATGCCAGGCGACAGGGCTGCCCTCTACAGGGAGGCAGGGCTGGACTTACAGTGTGAGCATTGTTGATCTTCTTCACTTCCCACTGGCCTTCGCCTGTGTAGGTCAGCAGAGAGATGGCCCCATCCGAACTCCCGCAGGCCAGGATCAGGCCGTAGTCATGGGGGGCCCAGCACACAGAGTTCACTGCAGGATGCAGGAGGCATAGTGAGCAGGGGATGCAGGACGTGCAGGAGGTGCAAGGGGGTGCAGGGCCACAGCTACAGACTGCTTTGCTAAGTTCCTACAAGAACTGCAGGGACCACGAGGGGCAGCTGTAATTTTTTTCAATTAATGATATTAGAAAAACCTCCGTTACACACAAGCATCATTTCATAAACTCCACTTTAACAAAACAAGGAGGAAGGATAACAACCTGAGAATAAAGGCTGGTACTTAAAATGAATAAGCCTAAGAAAGTTGCTGTGTTGTGTGGCTCTTTAGCTCTCAGGCCACACCTCAGCAGTGAAGACTGGCAGGACAGCCAGCCACAGCCCAGGGACAGAGTAGCAGCAGGATGGAGGGACAGGAACCAGGGGGTGGTTAGGACAGAGCAGCTCAGTGTACCTGACGAGTCATGTCCTGAGTGCTCATGGGTCTTCTCCCAGCTGCCATTCTCCTCTTTCCAGATGATGACTTTCCGGTCATAGGAGCAAGATGCCAGGATGTTGCCATACATGGGGTGGGCCCAGGCCACCTGCCACACAGGACCCTCATGACTGCAAGGGGAGGGGACAGAGGTTGTTCAAGGGCCATGGGAACCTATAGTTCTCTACCAGGCAGTTATAGATAGGACTGAATGACTTCCCTGGCAGAGGGAAATAACATCTGCCTAAGAATTTCAAAAGGGAGAGTTATAGATGTCACTGTGAAGGGACACCTATTGGACCAGGGCCACAACAGGCTCAGTAACATGAGGTCAGAGCCTTTCTAAGAGTCAGAACCCCTGTGCCACCCAGACGGACCCTTGCCTGCCCAGACTGCAGCCAGCATAGCCTCTCAGCAGTCACTCATCAAGTTAGGCTTACAGCTGCTCATACTTACAGCTTACAGCTTACACACTTACACTTACAGCTGTACACACCTGTAGGCTGAGTCACAAACGACCCTACCAGAAGGCCAACTTCTTGAGAAGGCAGTGTCTATCCCCTATTGCCCTGTGCCCATGCTTTGTTCAAAGCATGTCTTTCCCTTCTGCTCTCTACCTGCTGACAGGCACTGTCTGAGCACACTGTGTGGCTTCTGCACGCATCATTCCTCTGGCCAGGGAAGGGTGTGTGCTCAGCGTGGTATAGTAGCGGTAGGTGCAGGCTCTTTTACCCAACTTTCCTGGTCTCAAAGTTCCTGGCTTTAGGCCAGGGTGGTATCTTCTCTATGGCAGTCTCTTCATGTGATAGTGGAGAGGTCACTAAGACTTCTTTCCCTGTAGTCATGAGGGCTAAATGTGGTAACTCATGTATAGAATGCAGAAAAATGCTTAGTACAAGGAGGAGCAACCCACTCAGTCAGTGCTGCCCCTTGTTTACTCTGTGGCTCTAGGGCTCCAGCCACTTCCCTCTGGGTGGACAACAGTATACCTTAGGGCCTACAAAGGAGCTCCTGATGAAACCGAGCAGACTCACGGTCCTGACACTACCATAGTTAAAAATGAGGCAAAAACAGAAGGGTGTGAATTTTTTTATCCTTTCAGCATTTCACATCTTTTGAGCTTAAGAAAAAGCAGAGCAGAGAATCAGTATTATGACTTGTGTCCAGATGTCCCTCCAAAGCCTCATGTGCCCATAGGTGGGGCTTTTCAGAGGTGCCTGGATCTAGGGTGTGTGAACATGGATTAATGGTGTGTGATCTGTCCACTGGTTGGTTTAGTGTAGTTCTGGGTATGGATAATGGAAGGCCCACCCTGCATGTTTTTAGCCTATGTGGGATAAAAAGAAAAAGGCAGGCTCACTGTTTTGCTGCTTCCTGCCTACCTTGTCATGGACTGTTTCTCCTCTGTCCTGCTGCCCTATGGAGACAGCTATGGACTGAAATCTCTACAAACTGTGAGCCAAAATAAATCTTTCCTCCTCTAACTTAGGGTGTCAGTAACAAGAAAGTAACTAAGCCTGCTTATGCCTCTGTTCAGCAGAGGCTCCTGCAGGAAGACGCAGTGTGTGATTCTTCAGTCACATACATTCTTCTTGGCACTCAGAGGAGGGGACTTTGTGGCCCATTTCCCCACATGGACATTGACTCAGTTTGTTTTCTTTAATTCAGCTGAACACATACTGAATACCTTCTTACTGTCTTGTACAGTCTGGTGAAGGTCCTGAACCCCTTCTCAGGGTAATGCACAAAGTACAGAATAGATTTACAAAGAAAACTGAAATGCAGTTACCAAAATGTTAGAAAAATGTATAAGCTAGTAATACACATGCTTCTATTTTAATGCATCAAGCAGAAACTCTAGTGGCAGGTCTATTAATCTCTGCAATTTCACAGTCATATGGTAAGCATAAATGATATTCTAAGTTATAATGACTACAGAAAAATGCACACACCTGGTGACAAAATGACAGTAACTACAAACACTACTGTGGCTTTTGGCCTTCTTCCAAAATTGAAGGCAATGCTAAATATTATAGTCACTAAAAATAAACAAGTGATTGTTTTTCCCCTGCCCCAGCTCACCAAAGCCTGAATTCTATCCACAAAATCCCTGGGGACTCATGGGACCCAGAGTAAGAACCACTACTGTATAAGAGCCAGTGAACTGAGGGAATACAGTAGAGAGGTGGCCCTAAAAAAGAGCTAGGACCTTAGCAGGGAAAAGTGTGGGCCAAACATCTGTAAATAGCTATTTAACTCCTGTCATGTACAAACGGGTAGAACAACAGGATTTACAAAATGATTCTGCCATTCTTCTTATTGTAGCACTCTTAAGTGACAGTTCAATTTTTTGTTTTGTTTTCTTTGAAACAAAGGTCTCACTATGTAGCCAGACTGGCCTTGAACTTGAGGCAATCCTGCCTTAGTTCCCAAGTGCTGGGATGTGCACCACCATACCTGACACTGACACTTTAGATCACACTGACTGAACATGCACAAAATGGTACCGTTTACTGTTTTTAAATGAAGCAGTAGCTGCCCACAGTGAAGGCTACCTGGGGGCTATGCACCTTGTCAGGAGCTAGCAGCCTCATAGTGTGAATATGGGAGGCCGAGCTGGTGTTCCTGCCTGTGGCTACCTGCGTCACCTTGGGGACATCTCTGAGGAAAGCACCCCCCACCCCCACAGGAGGCTGCTGTGACTCTGGGCTTTCATCCTTTCTGCTCATGCTTGTGGAGGGCCTGCAAAAGTCACACCATTCCCGGGGACCTTCCCTGGGCTTGCTGACACTTACCCCCTGAGGTCAGCAATGAGGATCTGGCCTCCGTTGCGCACATCAAAGATTTTGACAGACCTGTCTGAGGAGCAGGTGGCCAGGCGGGTGCCATAGTAATCCATCTGGGCATCGTGCTGCAAAGGGAGGACAGCTCAGGAAGCCTGCAGGCTGGGCAGCGGGGTGGATGAAGGCAAGTCACCAGAGTCTAGTTTGGACCAGCACCCACTTTGCAATAATCTGATCTCAAAGAATCATCAGCACTAGACAAGAAGCTAGCATGCTGAAGTCTTCCGTCTTTGCTAGGCAAGGCCTTCCTGAAAGGGACAAGCTATACCATCCCCATCTGGCTTGACAGAGCCTTTATATCCTCCAAGGAAGGTCCCTTTCCACCCTGCCTGCCTGGTGGGTATGGGAGAAAAGGCAAGGCCAGCTGCCCTTTCCCACTGTCCTCACTTGCCCCAGACTCTCTGGACTACTGAGGAAGGTATCATGAGGCTTACCTCAGCCCCAAACCCAAAATGAATGCTCGAGTGCAGGCCTCAGACTGCCTGCAGGCCCCGAGCAGGTGCTCTGTGATGCACCTCTAGCCTGGACTCAGGGTTCCATTCAGATGTTTGGGTTCCTTCCTCCTCCCTTGGCCCCCGAACCTTTGTTGCTGGGTTCCTGTTAGACTTTCCTTCTAGTGAAGTGCACAGTGTGACAGACTCCCCTCCCAAGGGAAACAAGGCCTTAGGTGTCACTGGTCCCACTACTCAAGAGCTGAATGCCTTGATGCTCACTGAATTCCAGAGTGTGGGGGGCACCTGCCCACAGTTGCTGGTCCATCTGGGCAATGGTTCCACAGAGGCACTAGGCCTACCACCCCCAAACAGCTTCACTCTCCTGTTTGCTGGCTCTCCCTAGAACAAGACATGGCACTTTCCTAGATGTCCCATCGTGGAAATTTCAGGAATGATTGTCATTCCTGGGCTTATCAGGAGCAAATGTCACCTCTCAAAGGAAGCACTTATTGTATCTGCCTCAGTGTTCCTTTCTTACCTCCCTCCCTAAGGAAAACATTCTGATTGTTCCTTGGAAGTCAGCCCCCTCACTGTGTCAGGCCTTGCCTTCTTGGAAGCAGGCAAAGTAGTGATTTCCCAAGCTGTTCTGCATACTCTATCACACTGTAGGAGGAAATAAAGCGGAATACCTCAAAGATGTAAATCCTATCTCCGTGGCCTATCTGCTGGACAACCTTTGAAAACTTACATCTTCCTTGAGCCTCAGTTTCCCTTTTTGTTTGTTTTTTGAGACAGGGTCTTGACTCTGTAGTCCAGGCTGGCCTGAAACTCATGGTGATCCCCCTGCCTCAGCCTCCCGAGTTCTTGGATAACAGGTGTGCACCACCATACCCAACAAACATGCAAATATTCCTAACCATTATTTTGCCTCACCTGCTTGTCAAATCAAACCCATGCAGGTAGTTGGCACATTATCTTTTCCATGAGGAAACTAAGGTTCACAAAAAGGAAGATATTGTCTAAAGAGTCTCAGACTGGACCTTTTTGTTCATAGTGGGACACCAGCTCCAAGAAGCCATGTCTTTGTGAGTAAACTCTTCATGGCAGAAACCAAGCTACATGGGCAACTCTGATACCTGGCAACTTAGAAACCTAAAAGCAACTGCTGGTGGACAGGCATGAGGGCAGGAACCCTAGCGTGAAATGCTGTAGGCTGACTGACCTGGGCGCTACTCAAAGGCTGCCTTGTCTGTACAGCTCCACACAAGCAGTCTGTTTTTCCTGGTGGAGACTTTAACCTCTGGACTTTTTCCCGCAGGCCCTAACTTCCTACACTGAACCCTGTATTTGGAACTCAGGAAACACCTGAGAAATGACTTGTGGTTCAGGGGCCTTGTCTGGCTGTGGGACCTGGCTCTGCCTTCAGCTTTCACTGCGGCTGCTCTTGACTTTGTGTGGGCCAGCCTCCTCCATGGTCTCATCATTACCCGCTTCTAATGGGGCCAAGAAATGACCCAAAAAGAGAAGACAGGTAGGAAGAAGACTGACAAACTTCACCGTCGGCTGGAGCAGGTTACAGTGTTATGAACCGTTCCTAGGTTGCCCTTGGTTAAGTGACCAGACTGTCATAGCTTTGCCAACTCATAAAAGACTGCTGGGAGAATGACCACACCCTTGAGGTTACACTCTGACTGGCAACTACTGCCATATCAGATTCATGAATGATTAGCAGAAAGCGGCAATGAGAAGCCCAGACTGCTTAACTCCCACAGCAATGCCCATGTCCAAAGCCCTTGAAGACCTAAGTGAATACTTACAATCATGTCCTCATGGGAGGTGTCCACAGTATTAATTACAGACACCTAGAACCAAAGATGCTGCAGTTAGATGACAGAATTCAATCATCCCATTAAATCTATCAACTATTTCTAAAATTCTTTTTTTTCGTCTTTTGAGACAGGGTCTCGCTATGTAGCTCAGGCTGGCCTTGAGCTCACTTTGTAGCCCAGGCTGGTCTCGAACTTGCAATGATCCTCCTGCCTCAGCTTCCTGAGTGCTGGGATTACAGGCGTGGGCCACCAGGCCCGGCTTACTATTCTTTTTTTTTTCTTTTTTTTGAGACAGGATCTCACTATGTAGTCCAGACTAGCCTCAAACTCATAGCAATCTTCCTGCCCCAGCCTTCCAAGTGCTGGGATTATAGATGTGCACCACCACCCCCAGCTCTAAAATTCTTGGTTGCATAGTTTTGGTCACTTATTCCGTGTAGCACATACTCCAAGTGCCTTGCTTTATGCTGAGCACTGTGCTAATGGCTGCAGTATACAGCAGTAAGAGGCAGTTCTTGCCTTTGAGAAGCCTGTACATAAATAACTGTAACATGGCAAGGTCAATCCTTTAACACTGTTTACATGCGCTACACGAGCTGAGAGGTAGTGGTGGTGTTGGATACAAACTGGGCCTTAGAAGAGAAGAAAGAATTTGCCAGATGGCCCAAGGGGAATCTGCCAAGGCCCAAGGCCTAAATGTATGGTCCAAGCAGACAGGAAAACATGAGTGAAGACAGAAGTTTGAGAGTGCATGATATAAATGGGGGCAGTGGGTAAAAGCAAGCAGTCCTGGCTGCTCATAAGGGTGAGGTAGGACCTGGAGGGAGTTAAGACCTGATGTTCCCTTCCTGAATGACGAAACCTCTGATGTCCCAGGCAGTTTATGCATTACAGGGTTATCTAAGCCTAGGCAAGTTTCTCCTGAGGCTACTCCATGGCCTGCCTCTTACAACAGACTCCAGATCAGTGATGGAAAACCTTTTAGAACTGGCAATGATGACAAACAGCCAGGTGTGGCACGCATGCCATAGGTTCACCACCACTGCTTTAGATGGTCTCCTAGTGGGATCCAGCGTTGAATAATCTGTAGGGCTTGAAAATGGCTGTCTTGGTCCTTCCGTCTCCCCACCCTCACCCTCTCCCAGGGCCTCATACATGCTAGGCAAGTGTTTTATTGTCTAGCTACATCCCTATCCTTTTTATTTAGTCATTTATTTTTACATTAATCTTTATTCTCTTTCCAATAATAAAAACTATAACCTTTACATTATGGAAAACTGGAAAACCAAAATTCCCTCAGAATCCTACCCTTGGAGATGACTATTTCCATTTGTCGTTAAGTATTTTTCCAGATTTTTAAAGCATGTAGTAGTAGGGCTTCTACTGTACATACACGCTACTCTACTCTCAAGCAAGTTTTCAAAGAGTTCTAACAAATCATTCAACTGATCAGTTCCTCCCGCCTCAGTCTCTCTGAGCACTGAGATGATATTTCTGACATTTCTTACAACTTCTCTCAACCCCCATCTCATATTTCCCAGCACAAAACCTGCAGCACAAAGCCTGACTTGACTTTTCAAAGGTGGCCCCTGGGAAAGGATGGTGGCAAAGCAACTGAGAAGGTACATAATAAGTAGATACAGGTTCTCTCTCAGCAAATTCTAGACTGTGTAATAAGCGATCCCCCAAGGTCTGCAAAGGCAAGAAAGCAAGTGTCTCCTCGAGCTGGCCACATTGCAAACTGCTTTCACATGCTCGGAGGTGTCAAGGACAGTCAGTCACAGCCATCTGACAGCCTAAGGAGTGGAAGCAGTACTTCCTCCCAAGCCTCCGAGTTTACCAGGTCATAGGTAAACAACAAGCAACAGCACTCAGAACGCCTCTTCAGGACAGTATGCGTTACAAATTAATTTAGAGCTGACTGATTATGGAGCACACAGTTCCCAACTCTACTAAGGAGAGAATTAGAGGCCCAAAGTAGAAGACACTTTGACACCAGCTGCCCGAAGAGTAAGAATTAAAGCCAGGGTTCTGACTTCTAGGTTCATACAGTTTTTCTCAAACTGGCGGTGAGGCATCCCCGTTTCTTAGGAGAACGCATTTCCTAGGCTGTGTCAAGCCCAGTTTTGAGGCCTTCAGCCATTAGTTCTCATTCCTTCACTCAGTGAGTCAGTGTGGAGCGAACATACACTGCAGATAACACCGAAATGGGAAAACCCGGGACCCTGTCTTCAAAATCATTCAGCTTCTCCTTCCGTCAGCGTTCTGAGGTCGTCGTCAACGCTGGGAACCCCGCAACATTTCTGCTGGGAGGTAGGAGGTGGAATCGAATCTCAGCTCCGCCACTAGCACAGGCTGCGATCATAGTAAAGCTTCGAACTTGCCGCAGGCTCCGTACACACAACTCCTAGGGCGTCCTGGCGCTGTCTCGCCGAGGGAGACAAGGACGGGAGACAGACACGCAGGGTGCCCGGCAACGGTGCGGCCTTAGTCCCGGAGGCTCGGCGGCCTCACCCCTTCCAACCGCTCCCAAAGGTCGCAGGATAGGGCTAGAGCACCCCAAACTCCACGCGGTCGAGCGGTACTGAAAGACCCTAGTCCCAAGGGCTCGAACCCTGCTCACCCTCACGACCCCAACACTCACCATAACTGCGGCAGCGGCGTCTTCGGGTCTCAGACGTGGCAGCTCCCGCCTCCGAAAGGCCCACTTCCGGCGCTGGGCTGGCGTGCAGGCCGGCCATCGCTCCGGAGTCCCCGGGCTGCAGCACTCTCTACTCGCACCAAGGTTCCGGGTCTCTCTGGGGCCGCACCGCGCCCTTGCGGGGCCCCGCCCCCATTTGCAGCGCAAGACCCAGGGGGCGGGGCTCTGGTTTCCTTGGAGACACTGACCGTGGGCTTTGGGGTCTGAAGCTTTAGTGGGTCCTCTGTCCAGACCATCCCTTGCCTCTTCTTGGGTTAGTGACAGCGTGGCGTGCTTCCCTGGGGGTCTGGAGGGTGAACTCTAGAGTGATGGTGTGCGTGTTGCGTGCGGGGAGTGGACTGGTCTTAATGCTTCTTTCTGGTTAGTCTGTCCTCAGCCTCCCTATCCTCCCTAACACAGGCCGGCGACCTCAGAGACTGCAGACTGTTCCTTCCAAACACGACCCCGGGGACGCAGTGAGTCTGACCTATCAGATTCCTCCAGGCCAGGAAGGTCTTAGACACCCGCTCCCCCGCCGTGTTCCCAGCGCCCAGTGCCTACCTCCCCAAAGGAAGGCCGTTGAGGGCTCCCCAGAAGCACAGTGAGAACCCTGGACTGCCCGATAGAGCCCTGGGGTGAAGTTACAATCCTCCAGTTTCCTGTCACCGCTGGGGTAAGAACCTGAGCTGGAGATGGCCACTAAAATGTTATGGCGCCGGGCATAGTGACGCACGCCTGTAATCCCAGCACTCGGGAGGCTGAGGCAGGAGAATCGTTGCGAGTTCGAGGCCGGCCTGGGCTACAAAGTGAGCTCAAGGCCAGCGTGAACTGCATAGCGAGACCCTGTCTCAAAAAGACCAAAACAAAGCAAAACAAAACAAAACAAACCATGTTGTGGCTCAGGAAGTGTAACAGGGCTGCCCTGTGAAAGGGCTGTGGAGAGGGGGCCATGGGAATGCAGTGTTAGCAGAGGGAAGGCCCAGGCTTTGGGCAGCAACCCAACCTTCCACCCCACCCCAGCTTCTGAGATTTCTCTTCCCTCAACCAATGGATGAATACTGCAAGGTGTGGGGTTGCTTAGAAGGGGGAGGGTGAGCTCTTGGCCTGTTTCTTCAGGGAAAGTCCCTGGCTTTGGATCTGTAGCAGCACCCTAGCCTCTGGCTGATAAGGCCCAGTTGCTTCTCTCTGAGCTTCACTTTCCTCCAGGGGAAGATGGGGACAAGGGCATATTAGATGTAACTATTGTGCAGAAGGCATCGATACTGTTAAAGACATCTCCCGGTGTAAATGTTGAAGAAACTGAGGATTTGGGGCTAGCAATGAACTGAATCTTATTACACATTCAGATATTTGTAAGGCTGAATGGCATAGTGATACAGAGGTTGAGTGCTAACTCTGGCACCAAGTTGGGAGGTGCCAGTACTGCATGTCCCTACTTGTGTGGGCACACTCTGTTACAGGGGAGGTAAGATACAGATTGTGTGTACCTTATCTGAAATGCTTGTAAACAGAAGTGGTTCAGATTTCAGGTTTTTTTGAATTTTGGAATATTTGCATATGCATAATGATATATCTTGGGGGATGGGACCCAATACTGAACACAAAATTCATTTATGGTTTTTTTTTTTGTCTTTTTTTTGAGACAGGATTTTGCTGTGGCGTTCAGACTGACCTTGAACTCACTTTGTAGCCTAAGCTGGCCTTGAACTCACAGTGATCCTCCTGCCTTAGCCTCCTGAGTGTGGGGTTATAGGTGTGTGCCACCACACCCAGCCTTACGTTTTATTTCTTATACATATAACCTGGAGGTAATTTATACAATATTTTTAATAATTTTGGGCATGAAACAAACTTTTGCAGGGGGGAATTTTCCACTTGTGGCATCCTATCAGCCCTTAAAATTTCAGATTTTTGGAATCTGGAAGCTGATTTGGGATCAAATGAACCTTGAATGTAAAACTGGAAGTTGGATGGGCCAATGTGTTTGATCTGGAAATCAGTTCAATTTGAAAAGAGCTGGGATTGTGTGTGTAAAATTCTCAATATCTGAACCAATGTTGGGCAGTATTTCTTGGCCTGAGCATATTATTTTTCTTTGCTAATTGACTTCTAGAGTACCAAGCTCCCCTTTGCTTCCTGGGATGCCATCTATATCTTGTGTCTGTATTTCCCATCTGGCTAACCCTAGACCTCAAATCAGGCCATTCTTAGCTTTCCTTGGTTGTGCGTTCTGTCTCCTGGTCCCCTTTCCTCTGACTGTCCTTCCTTCGTCCCCGAGGCTCTGCTGCCCAGATCTTCCTCGCTGAGACAGGCAGCTCTTCCTGATAGGTTCAGGCTAAGCTCAAAAGGTGAGCTGGTAGAAGGGGAGCAAAGTGACTTTCCCATCCAGGGACTCAATTTCCCTCAATTCACATCCAGGAGGTGGGGGTCCCAGCTGTCCTGCAGAAAAAGGCTTTGTGATGGGTACCATGTCTGCATTTCCACGTGTGCATTTATTGTTATTGCTCAGTATAGTGTTGAAAAGGCAGACAAATCCCATTAATTACAAAGAGCACAAGCCAGAGATACACAGAAATAAAAAGTTTACAATAAGAGCACAGTCACTTCCCAGCCCCGGTTGTCCAGAGCCCGGGCAGCTTGTGGAAGCTGGAGGTGGCACCATTCCTTCGATACTCTGTTATAAAAGATGTGCACGCAAGAGTTAGCAAAGTGTGGTGACCCTCAGGAGGAAAGGCTGGGGACAGAGAGCACCACAGACATTATGAAACAGATGGTGAGGCTGAAGAAGTGTTCCAGAGCAGCCTCTGATCTCCGGATAGAAGAGAAGATGAGGGCAGCTGCCCAGGGCCTGGAGTCCTCCTCTCCCCTTTGGTGGGTTGGATCTCTACATTAAAATTGGGAAGGCTTGATTTTGAATTTGGATAAGACCTGGGGACTTCCTGTTGTCTGACTGAGGCCTTGGCTGCAAGCCTTCAAGCAGCACTTCCTCCTGGCCAGATCCTCTAAGGGTGGGGTCTCAGGTGCGACAGCAGGAGAGATTTGGAGGGAGACATGTCAAGAGTGGCACCAGATTGGCCTCCTGCAGGCAGAGCAGGGAAAGAGAGGAGTGGTGGTGCTGAGAACATCTTGACAAGAGATTTCTCCCAAAGGTGCTGGAGCTCCAAACTCAAGAACGAGATTCCCACCCCCCAAAAAATTCCAGCAACAACAAAATGACCAAAACCAGTTCAGGAAAGGAAGACAGGAGCATACATTTTCATGGTAGACAGAGAGCTGAGCTCTTTCCTAGCTAGGGCCATACCTCTGGGTCTAGGGAAGTCCCCTTTTCTCAGCTGGACCAGAGCCAGACGGAGGGCCCATTCCCAGCACAACAGGAGAGTGACTTTGGTTTCCAGCAAAGGGTTCTCGGTGCTCAGTGGCCTTACCTGGCCACCTCTGGGCTGAGGGGACAGGTGAAATGATGGGAAGAACACCTAGCTCCCCTAGACTCAGAGTGGCACCAGAGTAGGAGTGAAGGGGACAGAGGATCTGGCAAGATTTTAACGTTTCCTTGGAAGAACAGATGTGAGAGAAGAACCAGGAATTTTGTAAAAGGAGAGCGAAGGGATTCATCATACCACATCATAAAACATTCTTGAGTGACAATAATTAAAACTGTGGCTGGTGCCAGAGGAGGCACCCAGATGAGGGAACAGAAGTGCCAGAGCCCAAGTCTATGTACAATATCAGCAGGTGTTGAAGGTGGCATTTTAGTAAGACTGCGGAGAGAATGGTTCTTTGTTAAGGGGGGACCAGGATAAGACAGTTTAGACTCCCAGCTCTGAACAGCTGCATTCGTTGGCCTGGTCTCAGGGGCAGAGCGGCCTCCCTCCTGCCAGTTCTGTGCTGGCTGCTCCAGAGATAGGGGAGCTGTCTGCACCTTAAGGTGCCCACCCTGCCTCTCTGGAGGTAGGTGACTCGGGAGCGTCTGAGTCACTGAGTGGGTTCCCTGCTTGTCCCTCATTGGTAGGGGGTGGAATACAAGTTGGTGAGCTTAGACCTCAGAGTGGGGGTGGCCACCTGCCCCTGGAATTCTGGTGCAGAGGTAGGAAAGAAGCTGGAGGGGCGCCATGGTCTCAGGCAAGAGTATACATGACAGAGGATATATTTACTATGTTCTGTCCAATGATGGTTTTTGCCTTTTTCTTTGTAAAACCACAGACATCTCAGAACCACACTGCAAGAGGCAGAAGTGTCAGCACTCGAAAGCATAACCATTGCATAGTATTAAATGAACAGAGATGGTGAGTTCTTTATTTACAATTATTGTCTAGATAAAAAAATTCATAAAAACAGATGAATGGTCATAAATTATTGACCCCCTAGTGGGGTGAGTTGCCAAACATATCCCATGCTGCTAGATATAGGACGCAGACTGCAAGCTTTGTGTACTACAGTGAGTTTTTGACAATCCATCCATTTCCTATGTGCGTGCATGTGTGGGTGTATGTGAACATGTATGATTGAGGGGGCACATGTGTGATCACTCTTCCTGATGAGAAGAGAGCAACATGTGTGTTGGACATTCTCAGTGCTTTCATGGTTCCTTTTCACCCAAGCAGGGTCCGCTTGGAGACGCCTCCCATCTGCCTTGGGTTCTGGCCCACAGCATAGGGAGCCTGGCGTGCAGCCGATGGTCCTGACGTCATGGAATGAGGTCATGAATGCATGGTCAAACAGAGAAAGGGCAAATGGAAAAGTGAGAAAAGAAACTCCAAAAAACCACCGTGTTGCAAGTTTTCCTGGCTGCACATCCTTCCTTCCTTGGAGGAGCGCAGCAGGCAGGCATTGGTGGTGTTTTTACCAGAATCCAATCTGGGCATCTGAGGGCTGGTGCCCTGTGGCTGGGGATGCAGTGTCCTCTGATGGATACATTCAGAGAGAGTTCTTCACAACATTCAGGCGGTGCTCTCTCACACAGAACATCCTCCTTACAGGAGGTTTTGCCAGGTGGGGTGGGCTGACTTCGAACCCCGAACCCTTTAGGATTTCCCACAGCTGTTAGATGTAGGCCCGCCCAGCTGACTATGGCTCTGTTCCCAAGTGGCTGTCATCTTGTTAGTGGAAGAGTTCTCTGGGCCTGGAGGAGGGTGGAGGCGGGCTGACACTGAGCAGTCACGGGGAGGGTCAGTGTGAGGAATGGATTTTGCAAGCCAGGCGAAAGTGTTTGGTTTTCCTTGAAGCATGGGACATCATCGATCATGGTATTCAAATTGTCTTTTGCACTGTACAAGTTTATGGAAAAAGATCATATGCCGAAAAGTCTCAAAGCAAACTTTGTATTAAATACAAAAGTTCTTTTATGAAAAAAGCTGAGACCCACAAAGTGCTTAGCAGTTTAGAGGCTGACAGACAATTCAATGAGCTCTTATTAAGTGGGATTACTAGTGCTGTTATTGTCTTGCGGGAAGTAACTGTCTTTCTCACCTGTGACACGGGAGGGTTCAGAATGGCTTTCTGTCTGGGGAAGCAAGACTTGCTGTTAAAAGGCTACAGTATATATTGTGACTACAGGAAGACAATTTGGTTTAAAAATCACACTGAATCCATCTCAATATACATGTCATAAGGTTCATTCGGATCTAAATAGTGCAGAGAAAAAGGCTATTCTTTAAAAATAAAAATAAAAGCAGCAAGCTATACGAAGCCTCATCTGATATGCCAACAGCTCTTTTGCTGCCCTTTATAAAGAAATAAACCTTTAAATTACTAACTAAAAAAATCAACACAATACCATTTATGATATTTTATCACTACCTCACACTCTTTACAGACAGTGCCAGAGACAGCCTATTTTGGAAGTGCTCCTGGTAAACTCTAGTGAGTTTCATTGAGAGAAAAGCCTTCGCCCAGCGCCTTGCAGATTCTGACACCATTGGGCTGGGCTGTGCACTCGAGTTGCAAATGCAGAAACTTCTCTCCTCGTCTCCTTTTGTCTACGGAGCACGGTGGTGAACCCTGCAGGATGGATCCTCAGTAGCACTGGCTTCTGCCTGAGCCTTCCACAGTAGTAATGTGATTGAAATGGAAATAGCAGGCAAAAATAAGAGCATGGCTATTGTAAAACATCAAGGATGCAATCCGGGGAAGTGTCTGCTGGGCCAAGCTGTTTTCATAGCATCTCAGCCACCAGTGTCCTTAAACCATACAAATAGCCAAAGACATTATCTACAGGTTTGTAAACAAATTACATTCTTCTCTTTAGGACATAAATAAGTTAAAATAGAGCAATTTAAGCAGAAACAAGGCAACATGCTGGCAAAGAAACTTTATATATCCATGTATATATATATTTTATATATATATATATATATATATCTACCTATCTATATGGACGTATACAGTCCTGGAGAAGTATACGTTGATATAGATATAAAAAAATGGATATGACCTTGTGTCTATGAGTTCTTCAGTTCCATTGGTGCAAATCTATTAGGCGAATTAAGCTCTGCAATTTCAAAAAGTTATTAAATTAATCTATACAACTGAGACCATGCTGTGCAAGCATTTCAAAAACTCACAGACCAGTGGATTGGATAAATAGTCTCAGAAAAGAGTCTGTTTGAAGTTCCCGCTAAGAAAACAAACAAACAAAAAACCCTCCCCAGCCCCCCAAACACCCGATGAGGGGAGGATCGAAAGTGTCCAGTACATTCATGCGGGGACGTAGTGGCCAGCGGTACATGGCTGGTCCGTGTCTGGGTGGGAGCCAAGAAGGGCTTGTTTTTGGGACCCCTCACTCGTTCCCGATGCTCCCAGGGGAAGTCCGCCCCTTGCCTTGAAGTGAAAAAGAGTTCAAACAGCATCACAGCCAGGGAGAGGGTCTGTGGGTGGCAACGGCGGTTTCTCTCCAGTGTTTGGTTTCCTTGTTGCTCCTGCTGCATGGGGAGCCAGGGCTGGAGGGTGCCCGGGAGACAGGTGGGAGTGGGTCTGTGGGGGTGGCCGGCAGGCAGGCGACGGGTCCTCAGCTAAAGTGACGTCTCCAGGCTGTGGATGGGGCTCCCTGGACTTGAAGAGGTAGCTGATTTGCTCGTGTCGGTTGTCAGGTTGATCCCGCTGTCGATAGCGCTGTTGTTCTTGTTGAGCGATGATGGCGGGCTCGAGTTCTGCTTGAGCGCGGCATCTTCTTCCAGGTCCGTGTCGTCGATGAGGGGGATGTGGGGTTGCGAATCTTCGATCCGGAATTCAGGATGAGCCATGAAGTTATGGATGGAGGTTCGAGACTCAGGCTTTTCTAACCCTTCATAGAGAGAGCTACGGAAGGCCTTCACGACGCGGATCTGCAAGGGAAGAACAGGGTCAAGGTGCCGGGCCGGCTGTACCCGGAGTACAGCGGAGGGCGCCGCGCGAGGGCTCGGCTGGAGTCCACGTCGTGTGTTATGAGCAGTGACAGGGGAGAATGGCAGGGGCTCAGGTTGTGTGCGTCCATGAGTTGGTTTTATTAAATGGCTTTGGTTTTGGTCAGAACTACAGAAGGAGGAAGGACTGGAGGGGTCATCGAGCACCGTCAGAGATGCTGGGGCCCTGTGGTGAGGGGAAGCAGAGTCCACTCCAGAGGGCACCTCGACCTAGTGAGAGACTGAGCCTTGGTAACCTCCCGGCAGAGCCCGACCATGCAGAAGGGAGCAGGGCCAAGGAGAGAGGAGAGGCTATTTTTAAAAAAAATTAATGTTAAAAAAACCACACACAGTTAAGAAAGCAAACTACATGGAACAGGTTATGTCACGCAGAAAAGGAACAGGAAGGAGAGACGCAATGTTAGCATGAGAAGACACACAGAGGCCAAACAGAACAAGATGTCAAACCAAAGCAGCGAAGCAACCAAAGCCCACTCAGGGCTTTCTGAGGTGCAGAGCGGGGTCAGCCAGGAAGCACGAGGAGCTGCCAGATTGGTTATAGTCAGGGGAAGGAGCATGCCATGTCCGAGCCGGGGACCACACGGCACACACGGATGGACACACGCCACACTCAGCAGCCTGGACAATGTGAAAGGAAGTCATTTGTACCCAGTTTTTCTTTCCTTCATGCATGTGGGAGGTAAACACTCGAGTATAGACTCCAGGCCCTGGCCAGTCACTGCCGCTTGCTTTGGGGTCCCTTGTTTCCTGGTGGGTATTTTGTTTATTTCTTCATTTGTGCTTTGAAAACACAAAACTAAAAAATGAGGCCAGAATCAGATGGCCAAACCCAGCCCCTGGGACAGGGAGGTTCTGGGATGGGGTGGGGTGAGTTATAAGAGAGCAAGGTGCTCCCCCTTCAGCTGTGAGCCGGGGTTCCGGGTCTCAGTCTTTTCCTCCCTAGAACAAAAGGAGGCTGGGCCGTGGGTCTTCAGGGCTAGTGGACAGCGTCCTGGGCATGTGATCAGGAAGACCCCGGCCAAGTCCTGGTCCTGCCACTTCTCATGTCTTGGCTATGAGCAACCCACACTGACTCTCTGCCGTGCTCTGTCTGTGAACAGGCGTGGAGCAGCAGGGCCCTCAGCTGGAAGGGAGGTGTCCCTTCTCTGGATCTGGGGAGTGGGCCTATTATTTCAAGGATTTGAGGGGACTGGGGAAAAAAGTGCCTCCTCCTCTCTTCCCAGGCCTGACTTGAGTGGAACAAGAGAGGAGAAGACAGGCAGCTCCGAACAGCTGAGGGTGAGGGTGAGGGTGGCCTCAGCTGAGGGTGTGTGGAGCCTTGGGGTGCTGCCTTGCCCACTAGAAGGCAAAGCTATTGTGGCAGACCTGAACCCTGGACATGAGCTCTAGCTAAACCCAGGTTCGCTCTCCTTGGTGCTGGCTGGGAGGCCCTCTTCCACGGTTGTGAACTTCTAGGTGGCTCTGTGCTGGTTCTCGGTGTCATACCTGAGGTCTATTTTCCCTGGGGGGGCAGGTGTTTCTAGCTCCTCATCTGCTTCTTTGCCCTCTGAGTCAGTGTGCATGGAGAAGAGTTTAACTTCATGCTTCACAATATTGCGAGACAGCACAGTTTGGCCTTTTTTCTTCCTTAAGTTTTCTGCCTTTGCTGTCAGCCATCACTTATTAGTGCTGACATTTGCTTGTCTTCTAAAAAACATCTCTTTCTCTTCTCCTGCTTATGTGCTATGGGCTGGGAATCAGAGAACTCCACTTGCTGGATTAGGTGCCAAGCAAGTGCCAGTCAGCCATTGCCTCAGAGCTGGTGCCTGGTGAAGGCTGTGTGGGCTGCCCTGAGGTTCTTGGCCTCTGGAGTCCCTACTTGTGGCTCTCTAGAGTTTATTATTATTCTGATGTCATGATAAATGGACCAAAGCAAAAGAGGTGTTGTAGGCTTTAGTTTCTTATCTGCCAAACGGGAGCGGCAGCAATCACTGTTGCTTTCAGTAAGTGCTCAGTGTGTCTGAGGCTGCCTGCAGTCAGAAGCAGCTGGGACACCTCACATGTGCATGGGGAAGGGGACAGTAGCAGGCCCCTATCATGTGACTCACAATGTAGGGGGACAACACACAATGAGATGAGGCCCCTCTGCCCTTCCCCTGGGATGGAGACAACAGAAGGAATACACTGCTCTGGACAGGACTGTGGGGATGAGACTCTCCGAGATGCCCCGCCACGGCCCGCTCAAATCTCCACTTCGGCTCTCTCTGCGGCTGAAATGGAAAAATATGGAAAGAAAAAAAATACTCTTCCATTTCTCCTCCTTGCCTACCTCAGAGATGGGACCCTGGGGGTAGAGGCCATGTAAGGGCACGAGGGCAGGGGAAAGAGGGGACCCAGCAGGGCTTTGGTGTCTGGCTGCATTGGCACAAGGGCAGGGGCGCTGCGCATGGCTGAGGCTCTGAGGGGTGCACAGGCCCCGTGCTGAGACAGGCTCCACATACTCGAATGTTTACCCGGCTTCAAGGAAGCCAAGAGTCTGGGATTGATTCACATTCATTTCAGGCTCAAGATAAAGACTCACAACCTCTTTTAATTTCACTCTCTCTTGCTGAACTCTGTGTCCAGGGTTCTCTAGCCCTCTAGGGAAACAAACACAGGGAATATTCAGACAGTGGAGAGGTCTGGGGCCCCCCCCGAAGCAAGCCGTTTTCTCGCCAACCCAAGATCACGCTAAGTTAGCCACCAAAACACGAACGAGAGACCCAGCTTTCTTTTTTTCCCCCCTGTCTTCATTTCTTCTCCTAACAGGATAAACTCCATGCCCTAGTAGTTGTAAGAACCAGGAGTCTGGAGGGGAAGTCAAGGCAGGGGTGTCCTATCTGTTGAGTGAGCTGTGGTGTCCAGAATGTGGCCTGGGGCTGGCTTGAGGGTCCTATGCTTGGCTTAGTGGGTGTGAAGGAACAGGGCCTTTGCCAATGAACACGGAGCCTGCCAAAGACTTGCTAAGAGCAAAGATGGCTTGAGATGAGCTGGAATCTCCTGGGAGACAAGAAGTGTGGGGTCTTGGCCTTGGAAGAGAGAGTGACCACCAGTGGGAGATGCAGATGGGCTGGGGAATGCTGATGAAGAAACACTTTCCTGCGCCCTGGAGCACAGCTCCTATGAAGCTGTGGGCACCGGCATGGGGAGCAGCAGTATGGAGTGGAAGGAAAGCGAGAGACTTCAGACTTCTGACAGCTCCCTTGCTGTGACAGCTTGGCCAAGTCAGTGTCTTTCTGTGTTAACGGACATACTGGCCGACCCGCCCTTCCTCCTCTGGAACTGTTGAGCAGGGATCCAGTAAAGAACACTGGGGGTGGCCACTGAATTTCCAGGAGAGAACAGGCTCCCCGTGAGGAAGTGGGTAGGGAATGGCGTGAGTGTGCAGCAGATTCCCTCCTGAGCATGCTGGTGTCACCTCGCTGGGTGCCATGTTCCTGATGGGCACTTGTCTGCCTGGGGCTTGCACTTCCCAGTGGTGCTGTGTGAGGGATGCCAGTGTGCTCGGGGACTGTGCTCACCTGTGTTGTGACTTAGAAGTCAGTCCCCAACACACACTGCCCTGTGATAGGCCTCTGTGGTCAACTCTTGGGAGTCCAGGGGACAGTGTTGTACTCATCCTGGGGAACATAGTCAGAAGCTACTTCTGCCTCAGCAGACACATGGCTGGCTTTTTGTGCTGGAGAATCCCCAGGAGGAAGATGCTGCTTGGAGGAGGCAGCTCACTTCCATCCTACCTGGCTGGGCCCTGTCCTTGCTTCCTGGTCAACTGTTTCACACCTCCCTGGGGTAAGAAAGCATTGGCTTCTGCAGGGACCACTACCTAGTGTCTTCAGTCCTGGGAAGGCAGAGGAAGTGTTATAGAAACTGAACAGAGGCCTAGGGAATATTTACCCAGTGCTTACATTGAGACTGCCTCAACTACAATGCAGAGATTCCCCCATGAAAGCCAGTGCCCTTGGGCAGGAGGATGGTCAGGCTCTAGAGCCCATGCCCAAGAAAGGATCTGGGAGGGACCCAGAACTTTGAATTGTAAAGCAGAGGTAGAAGTGGGCAACATCTAGGAGGGCTGCAGGTGGGAGCAGGGTGAGGGAACTGTGTATAAACAATCTCATTGAGTCATCTGAGAGAAGGAGGAGTCCTGGGCAAGGTCAGTTGTGGTACAGCCTCTGTTTGGGCTGCTTTGCAAGGCTGTTCCAGAGCGAGGATATGGGTCACTTGGGCTAAAGGAGATGGATCTGGCTTGGAAGGAGATCAGCTCAGAGACAGAGAGTGCAGAATGGTATAAATAGGCATTTCTCTGAAGGTGAAGTGTTGTCACAGGACTGGCCTCCTTGAATGGTTTTACAAATGACCAAGAAGAAAAGATGAGGATAAAGCTGTGAGGTGGGAAAGGCCAGCTCTTATTTTAGCCTATGCAAGCTATGATGAGGGTCAAATGAAGGAACCTCTCCCAGGGGTACACAGGTGCCCCGGGAGGTCACATGAGGCCAGCGCCAAAGGCTACAATTCCAGAATGAGGCCAAACCAGAATGGAAAAAGAACTGAGCTCACACCCAGAAGCCAGTCTCCTGGTAGGCAGAGCCAGCTAGGGGGACTCAGGAATCACCAATGCGGGTGGGTCTCCATGTTGGAGCACTTGGTGATGGAACTTCAGGACAGGTGGTGGTATGGGGCAAGGCCAGAGCTCTAGGCATCCATGGGGACAGGATGGAGAAGAGAGAGTCAGACAGGTAGAGCCACCTGTTAAGGCAGGGATCGCTGGTCTGAAGGGGAAGGAGGATGGGACCAAACATTTCTGCCCTGAGACAGCCTGGAAGTGATCTCCCAGGGACAGTACCTCATGGAAAGGTGACTCAGATACTGTTTGCTCGAATGCATTCCCCTTCATCTTGGCTCAGCTGGCTGCCCCATTGCTGATTCTGTGCTAATGAATGGAGACTTAGGTATCCTTCCTGCATACTGGGCAGGACAAGATCCACATAAAGAAGGTGACAGGCATAAGCATAGGCTGTCAGCAGGCTCTGTGTCAGAGGGCCACGGGAAGGAACCCTGTCCTGCATGCAGGTCACACTCAGGGGCCAGGGATGAGTGTGGTAACTGTTCTGATGCAGGTTTTCTAAAGTACCAGGGCCTACAGTCTGTTTCTCATCAAGGGTTGAAGACTGGCAGGGATAACAGAAACAGTGCGTCTACTTTTTTTTTAAGACAGAGTCTCACTATGTAGTTCAAGCTGGCCTCAAACTCACAGTGACTCTGCTGCCCCAACCTCCCAAGTATTGGGATTCCAGATGTGCACTCACATCTATTTGAGATCAGAACTAGAAGCCCCTTTGGTAGACAAAACAGAGGAGGCAGGTGGGAAATGCAGACCGGTTCCCTTCAGGGCCTGAAACCATGGGGAGGTCCAGGAAAGGTCTAGACAAAGCCAGAGATGCGTGAGGTCAGAAGGGGTGGTATGAGGAGATGAGCTCGTCAGGAGGGAGATGTGGGGAGGTGGTCAGGATGTTCCTAAGCTAAAGGGGGCCTGGATGCTGCAGATAGACCAAATCCTTCCAAGGTTGGGGGGCTTGACCCACCGTTTTTCCACCTGTGGCCAGCTGGTGGGGTCAAGATCCTTGTCCTTTCTAGGAAAGGGCACTCCACGGTGTGCTGCCCTCTGTTGGGGAGGTGATGTTTCGGGCAGCCGAAGTGCAAGTGGGGAAGTGGTGTGGAGAGGCAGATTCTGAACTGCTGGGTGGTGCCCTGGGCTGCGGTCTCCTTGGTGGCCTGGGACTCCTGATTGATTGTGACCTCTGACCCGAAGGGACTTCTCGGCTTGTCTGTCCCCAGTGGCCGTGACCCCATTGCTAGTGGGTGCTTCCTGACCAGCTGAGAAACTCTGGATGACGTGACCTCTTTATGGCTGGGCCCTGCTGTGCATGTGACCTGAAGGCTTTCACCCTTGACCACAGTAGCTTCTTGCACGACTCTCACTGGGTGACTGTGAGCTCCTGGCCAACTCTGGCCCCTGCGCTTGGGGCCAGGCTTTCCTGACAGAGGGTGAGAAATGGGACTCTGTGGGCCTCTGGGGCCTGGTAGTAGATTGGAACCCTTTATCATTGAAACCCAAGCCCTCCCAACCAATGGTGGTGCCTCGACCCAGACCCTTTGGCCATTGATGGCCCTGATGACACCCAGCTGACCCTGGCCTGTGGAGTGACTGTCACCTTGTGACTGGCCCTGACTTCCTGCCCACTGGCGGCCTTCCCCAGGGGCTCTGGCACTTTGGCCCCCTGGGCCTGATAGTGACCAGCTGCCCCCCATGTCCTCTGGTACCCGGCCCCTGCCCGCTGGCCCGCCCAGGAGCTGGCATTGGTGGCACCAGCAGAGCGGTAAGGAGTCACACTCACGCCCAGCTGCAGCAGGAGGAAGGCTGGTCGGAGAGGAAAGAGCATTGGACAACGACACGCGACTAGGGCTAGAGAGATTGGCTACATCCTGGCTCTGGCTGGTGACCGAGGACTGTCTCCGCAGGGCGCCCTGAAAGGAGGCCCCGCTCTTGAAAGTATTGACTACTTCAATCTGCAATGGAGGAGAGAACGAGACAAGTTGCGAGAACAGACACAACAGCTACATGACTGACAGGCACCACGTCACGAGAACAGCCGCAGCCACGGCAACAATGACAGTGTCACTTAAATTAAAACAAAAAATACCAGATATACTCCAAGGCCCAGAAAGATAACTGCCCTCTATGGCCCTACACCCCCAGGGAGGACTCGGGGCTCTGCCTGCTCCCTCGTGCTGGTGGCTCAGGGCTGGTGGGCTGGGCTAGGGTGAGCCTGGGCATGGAACCCCAGTGGTGTGGTGGGGCTCAGGCAGGAAGACCTAGGCTCAAGTTCCAGCTAGATGGCCTTGGGCCGGTCCCCTCTCTGAGTCCTGTTTCTTGTCCTTACGGGCAGTCCCAGCTACCTGGCAGTGCTATCTGTAAGTGACAAAGTACCAGGCCGCATTGGTGCTCAGTAGGCTCATGCCATGCCCCTCAGGAAACCACAGTCCTTGCTTCCTTCTGGGAGCGGGAAGCCTTCATGGGAGTTGGGGGTACCAGGGCTGTGGGCCCGCACAGGAAGTGTAGGCTGCTGGATCCTGGTCAGGGAGGAGAGCCCAGGTCTGTGTCTGAGTGTCACTGCCCCCATCCTACCCTGGCCAGTTTGGTAGGAGGGGTCATCTTGGGACCTCAGTGACTTCCAGAACTGGGGAGTCACATTCACCTCTCAGGGCAGGTGAAGTCCAGTGAGAAGAGGTTTTGGGTGGGGCTGCGCAGGGCGGCTGCTCACTACACCTGTGGAAACAAGTCACTAGTTTGCAGCTCTTTCCCAGAGTGCCTTGGGGGACCTGTGGTGTAAGTTCCCACCTCCAGCGCCCCCGGCTGGTCCCTTTGGGCAGGGGGCTTCACTCTTGGTTTCCTAGTCCCCTTCTGACACTGACCTCATGGTTCTCTGAGAGCACTCTGGGCTGCAACTCTTGTCTCTGGCAGTGTGAGAGAGCATGGGGTGTGTGTCACAGACCCACAGCAGCCATGTGTGCTTTGCTCTGGGAAGAAACCTGCTGTGGCTGGAGTGCGCTGTGCATTTGTGTTCTCCAGTGTGTGTTCAGTGTGCACGTGTATGTACATGTGTGCAAGAAGATACCAGACTTGCTCCCCTCAGTTTCCTCCAGTCCCCAGGGGAGCCTGGAGCAGAGGATGTGTGCGATAAGAGGCGCCCGTACCTCATGGAAGGAGGACCTGGAGCGACCTTGGCTTGCAGGCTCCATCCAGCCTTGCCTCTCCGTCCTGGTGGCTGCCCCTTGCTGCTACAGTCCCCTCACTCACCCTCCCCACCCTCTTAAGGGACCCCCACCAGCTGAGAAGGCACAACGGCATCTTCCCAAGCAGGCTTCTCTGCTTCTTCAGCAGTTTCGAGTGTGTGAGGGACATGGGAGTGCAAAGAGTTGGTGCAAGAGTGAAGGCCAGTCTGGGACCCTGTGGTGGCCTCTGCTGGGGGTCACCCAAGTCCTCCTGCCCCTCGGTGGCCAGCTTGGGACAGGCAGGCTTACACATGCCTCCGCATCCAGCCGCTGGCCAGGCTGCGCCCAGCCCTGGGAGTGTCCCATACCTGTGTCTGGATGCGGTTCAGGCCACGGAACCACAGGATCTGGCCACGGCGCAGCTCCCTCTCGGCATGGTCGATCTCCTCCACGTCCTCGTTGAGCTCCTCCTCGGGGATCTCCTCCTTCTGCGTGAGGCGGCCCGCCTCCTTCAGGAATTTGAGCCTGCTTGTTGGGATGGTGGCGATGACCTGTAGGGGCCGGCACAGGGGTCAGGCCACCAGCTGTCCTCCTGGTTGGCTTCTTCCCTTCCTGAACCCTCCTCCCCTCCTTCTTTTCTTACCACTCAGCACATCTCCCTCCCTCAAGCTCTCACAGGTTCTTACCAACTTGCCTTTTTTTTCTTTCCCAGTAATGAGAATTGAACCCAGGGCCTTCCCACAGAGCTGCTTTCCTAGCTTTTTTATTTACTTTTTAAAATTTTGATAGGATTTTGCTGTTGCCCAGGCTGGGCTCGAACTTGCAATCCTCCTGTCTTTCAGCGTCCCAGAGTGCTAGGATTACAGGTGTGCACCATACTGGGCAAATAACTTGCCTTTTAATTCACTCACCTATCCAGAGTCAGAGGGGTGGAGTTGAACATCTGGGCCTTGGGGAGTTGCACAGATGTGACTTTGAATACCCTAGGCCATACTTGTTGTGTGACTTGGGCAAATCATTTGGCCCCTCTGTATTTTGTTTTTTTCTTCTGTAAAGCTTGGTGGAAGCTCTGGAAGTTGTGGAAATAAAGCCACATGGTGTGTCCAAGTTACCATGGACAGCCTGGCCCATGGCTGGCCCTCAAGTCCCCTGAGCCCCTTTCAGGGACCCCTGAGTATGGGGAAGAAATACAAAGTATCCCATCCTGGATGGGAAAGGCAATGTGGGAAGGAGAAATGCCTTCATTTTTATCTTTCCCAGGAGGCTTGTCCATGGGACTGAGGTCTGAGAGTCAGGCCTAATAGGGAAACAGAGGCAGTAGAGGACAGATGGGCTGGACTCAACACTCAGCCTTTGGGGGTCGCTAGGATTCGGGTCAGCTTCACACACTGGCATCAGCCTTAGTCTCCTGAGTCTGCTTTACACTCTGAGGCTCCCTTGGGTGACGCCCTGGGTGCTGATAGTGGCTTGGCTCTGGTGGTACAGAGAACAAGGTACTAAGTCCTGTGAGTCAGCAATGCGCCAAAGTTTGGGGAAAATCCTTGTGGATGAAGCTGAATCTTCCTCTTCATCCAGCTAATTCTGCCCCTGCAGCTTCTTACTGTAGCCTGGAGGCTCCTGAGGTGGGAACAGCATCTCTGGCCCTGGTGGCCTCATGGCCTGGATGGCTGGGTGGTCTGGGGATGAAGCCCCTTTGGCTCAGGATCAGCTCTGGACACTGCTCTCAAGCATGTTGTCCTGGGGAAGAGACTGAGCCACAAGTGGTCACAGCTGGGATGGATTGTGCCCGTGTGCATGCATGCATGCGCGCACACACACACATGCACATGTGTGGCAAAGGCAGGGAAGGGATTGATGGAATATGTTCTGGAGTCACAGCTAGAGGGGCCGTGATAGAGCATCCCTAAAGCCAGGGATTCCTGGCTTCCCCTTGGATGACCACAGGGCACTGCACTGCAGCATGGCAGGGCTGTCCCACTAGCATCTCTCTGTGTCCTCTGAAGGCCATCGCAGGGCATCAGCACAGGACACCGCTGACTCATCTTCCTTGCTAACAAGCTAGCTTCAGGCTTTGAGGCTGGGCTTGTGAGCATCTAGTGAGCATTTAATAATAGCGTGCTCCTTACATTGTTTTGTTAGCTTCTATTTATAGCAAGTGACTGATTTTCCAGTCATATTAGCAACACAGTATTGCCTTTTGAGCTAAATTTAAGTTGATGGGAAAAAAAGTAACAGGAGCAGAGAGTGATACACAGATAAAAAGGAAAAATCCCAGTGGTGATGCTCAGAATCGCCAGTATGTGGGCCCAGACAGCCTACTTTGCTCGGATGCGCAGAGATAGGAGGCCCTACTCCAGGGGGCTCCTGGGAGCCCTGGCCTCTGCTCTTTCCCTTCCCTGCCCAGAGGCACCCCGGCACCCTGCCTGAGCTTACCTGGCCCCAGACCAGCTCTCCCAACCCGATGAATATGCACCACATCCACTGGTCCAGCTGCAGCGGGGAGCAGCTGAATGGCTTCCCTCCAAACTGCACGATCACTATCTGGAGGTCATGGGCAGAGAAAGAGACAGGGACAGGCAATCAAGGGCTGCCCCAGCATTGCTCTGCCGAGCCTGGGCCAGGCTGGGGAGTCCTGGCTACCTGGATGGCAAAGGTGCCCAGCACGATGGTGCAGAAGATGGGGTTCCGGAAGATACCATCAAAAACGTTGCGCTCGCCATGGATCTTGCGGGCATTGATCTCATTGAAGAGCTGCATCATGACGAAGGTGTTGAAGATGATGGTGTAGTGCTCGGAGGGCGGCGAGTGCAGCGGTGCGTTCCTCCCGCTGTCAATCTGGAACATCTTCTCGCCTGCCAAGCCAGAGGGCAGGGCTGGGCTGAGGTGGGGGCGGGTCAGGTGGTTGAGCCGTGCCCCAACTTGGAGGCCAGTGGGGGGTGCAGGGTTAACAGACCCCTTTCTCCTCTAGGTGGCAAAGACCTTAGGGAACTAATCTGCCACCTTTTCTGTGGGGATCTGAGAAAGGTTGAATGCCAGCTGTGTTACCAGGCGACACTGTTTATAAAGATTTGCCGGTGCATGGTGCACATGCCTGTAATCCCAGCTACTCTGGAGGCTGAGGCAGGAGAGTTGCAAGTTTGAGGCCAGCCAGCAGCTTAGGGAGTCCCTGTCTCAAAATAAAAAAAATAAAAAGGGCTGGGGATGTAACTCAGTTTTCTCTGGATTCAATCCCTAGTACTGTGAGGGGGAAGGAAAAGTGACCCCAGATTGGCAAACACACCTGGACTTGGAAGACAGAAATGCCCACGAAGGGCCACTATGGTTTGCAGAAGTGCCCCCAAAGGTCTCTGTGTCACCAGCCCGGCCCCTAGCCTGTGGTGCTGCCTACAGGTGGTGGAGATGGGTGGGAGTTCTTAGGTCGTCAGGAGAGGGGCCCTTGAAGAGACTGTGGAACCCCAGCACTCCCCTCTACATCACTTCCAGCCCTGAGACGGAGTAGTGAGAACTGAGTTAAAGTCAAGTTCCTCTTTCTAAGTTAATTACCTCAGATGCTTGTTACTGTGATGGTCGTGTGGCCGGGAGACCTGAAGACCCAGCCTGAAAGGAACCCTAGGAAATGGGCAGGACTGCTCCCCGAGGGTGAGGCTGACAGAGGGGGTCCAAGCAGGAGAAGGGCGGCTACTTCCTCCAGAGCCTGGGCTCCTGCGGACTATGGGGTGCAGTGGTCAGCATGGACGCTGCCTTCGCAGTGTGCGTTTGGCACTAAGGGCTCCCCTTGGCTTCGGGGCTCCCCAGCCTGAGACGGGGCCTGGCTGCACTCAGGCTCTGAGTGGGACTCTGAACAGCCTGCTTCTCCCTGGTTTCCCCATAGCAGATAGGAAGGTGAGTGTGAGTCCAGGAGCAGGGCTGGGCCACAGGTGCCTGGGAGGCTGTGGGGATGGG